AGAAAGAAAGAAAGAAAGAAAGAAAGAAAGAAAGAAAGAAAGAAAGAAAGAAAGAAAGAAAGAAAGAAAGAAAGAAAGAAAGAAAGAAAGAAAGATAGAGAAAAATTCTGGACAGTATCTTAATGAAAGGAAAACAATGTTATCATTAAGACATGATCTTAATGAAGAAATCCTATTTTAGAACAGGAAGAAAATCCTATTTTAGGACAGGAAGAAATCCTATTTTAGGACAGGAAGGCACTGAGGGAGATGATTCCTAAATGCCAGAAGAGAGAGGACACAGAGGGGTTTGCAGCTCCTGGGTGGCTCCCAATGCCCAGGGAGGCAGCAAAGTCCCTTTTTCTCTGTGCAGGGGTGACCCACGTGAATTTTTGTGCATTTTTGTGTATTTTTGTGAATTTTTGTGAATCACAAACCCAGCCCCAGCTCCTCCCTCTCTCAGTTCCTCCCTCTCTCAGGGGCTCTCAGTGATGGGGGAACCTCCASCCCTCTCCTGGCAGCTCCCAGAGCATCTCCCATCTCTGCTCACAGCAAATTCCCTCTTCCTTCCCATCATTTCTCGTTATTCCACCCCTCCTCCCCTCAGCCCCTCCTCGGAGGGCACTCCTGCCTCATTAAAGCACTTTGCTGGATAAATGATCCGAGATCTCCTGTCTCTGTCAAACCCCCCTTACTGCAGCCCTCAGGATCTGCAKAATAAATTGTGTTTCATCCCTGTAAAACACGATTCCCTGAGCAAACTTTCCCTGCATTCCATTTCAATTCCAAGCTTCTTGATAACACCAGCAGATCGCAGAGGAACGAAGGGATTTTGTCTCCAATTAAAAAAAAAATAAAAATCCAGGGGATTAAAATTCCTCCCCATGCTTCCTACATCTCCTCACACGGTTAACAGGTGTTGTTTTTTTTGGTTTTTTTTTTGGGATGGTTGTATTTGAGAGTCTTTCCAGCCACTCGTTCGTATTTGTTTTTTGTAATTGGGATTTTAAAGTATTTGTTCTACAACCACGGCGTGTTTCACTCTCGAGCAAGGGAGTGTAGAGAGTGAAATATTTCAGTCTTCAGCCAGCAATTAAAAAATATTCCAATTAAAAAAAATTTAAATTTAAAAAAAATAAAATAATTCCAACAGAAATTTCAGCCAGCAATTAAAAAAAAAAAGTGGCATTAAAAAAATAGGATAAGAAAAGAAAAAATTGCTCTTCCACCTTCCAGGAGTGTGTTTAACTTCCCTCTTTTAACTTCCACGACTTCACAAGAGTCTCTGGACCACCTCACAACATCCCCCAAAGTGAGGTGAGCTCCTCCACGGGCCCCTCAGCCCATTTTTGCTAAAAATCAGAGGAAGAATCCCCAAAATCCATAAAAACGTGGCACTACCTTTGGTCCTGTCTGGCCTGGCATTCCCCGGGCACCGTCACTGCCAGCTCGACCCTGCAACAGAGAAAAATCACACACAGAGGGTGAGGCAGGCACAGCTGGGACAGGGTTTATTTAAACTAGAATAAGGGTTTATTTAAACCAGAATAAGGGTTTATTTAAACCAGAATGAGGGTTTATTTAAACCAGAATGAGGGATTTTTGAAGGCAGAGCTGCCAGGATGGAGAGCAGCAGCAAAAATCCCTGCTCGGGTTTTGGAGCAACATCCTGGAGCTGATGAGAGGTGGGAGATGAACTCATCATGAGCCATGGTCATTGATTTTTATGGGGAAAAATGATCTCCCGGCACAGTTTAAGAGATGCTGCTGATGATGGCTGTAAATTGAAATGAGAGTTGCTCTTTCAAGGCAGCCAGAAGTGGGTCACACACRAGAGCTGCTCGTTCATTCCTCCTCAAGGCAGCTTGAATTGTGCTGAGGCAGAGGGTGGTGAGAAATAAAAACCAGAATTAGGGATGAAAACAGAGCAGGGTTTACACCTGATCCGTGCTGGGGATGAATTCTCCTCTCACGCTGCCAGGAGTGGGGACTCCAGGCTGGTTCAGGGAATTTGTGCAGTTACACCTCAATACCAGAGAGACAAAAATCCCAGGATGAAAGTGTGGGATGGGCAGCCTCGAAATTCCCCCCACACCACCCAACTTTCAAATCCCATCCCCACTTCTGCCCTCCCAGATTTTAACCCTGATCCTCCTTTGTGTTCTCCCARATTTTAACTCCCATCCTCATTTCTATTCTCCCATATTTTAACTCTAATCCTCCTTTGTGTTCCTCTAATTTTTAACTCTCATCCTCACTTGTGCCCTCCAAGATTTCAACTCCCATCCTCATTTGTGCTCTCCCAATTTTCAACTCCCTTTTTCCTTTGAGTTCTCCCAGTTTTTCACTCCCATCCTCATTTSTCTCCTCCCAGATTTTCACTMCCATCTTCATTTCTGCCCTCCCAGATTTTAATCCTCATCCTCCTTTGTGTCCTCCCAGATTTTAACTGCCATCCCTGCTTGTGTTCTCCCAATTTTCAACTCCCATTTTCCTTTGTGTTCTCCCAAATTTTCACTCCCATCCTCATTTCTCTCCTCCCACATTTTCACTCCCATCCCCATTTCT